AAGAAAAAGAAAGAAAGAAAGAAAGAAAGAAAGAAAGAAAGAAAGAAAGAAGGAAAGAAAGAAGTGAAAAAGAAAACGAATGGAAAAATAATAAAAACAAAGAAACAAGAAAAGGAAAAATGAAAACAGATATTAAAAGAAAAGAGACAAAGAAAGAATGAAAAACAGTGAATAAAAACAAAGAAAAACAACAAAAGAAGGAATAAATAAAAGAAAGAAAGAAAGAAAGAAAGAAAGAAAGAGAAAGGAAGAGTTAAGGGAAGAAAAGCGGGAGGGAGGAAAAGGAAGAAAGAGTGGGGTAGTGGTTACGATGAATTGTAGAAAATATGTCAAAACAGAAGGAAAACACAGGAAACCGTAGATAAAAAAGACGATAGACTGAAAGTAGAGACGAGTAGATACAAAGAACAAAAGATTAACGATTGAAGGAGAGAAGGATGGAAAGAAGAAAACGAAAACAAGAAAGAAAAGCATTACAAATAGAAGGTAGGGACATAAGCAGAGTAAAGCGTAAAGAAAAGGAACGAAGGGGAAAAAAATCCCAGGAACGGATGAAAAGGAAAAAGATAAAAGTAAAAACATAAAGGAGCGAAGATAAAAAAAAATGCTTTTGGCAAAACTAACAAGGAGATCTCAATAATCGAGCCGCGAATCGGAGACGTCAAAATCCAAAACGTACAGAAATCTATTCATCTGGCAATTATTTTAACAGACGACGAAAAATATGACACCGAAATCCAAAGATATATCAGAATAGCCAATATTGCCTAACGGAAGCTATTCAGAAACATTTTAAAAAAATCATAAGAATATTTCCACAATTTACATCGTTCGGACTGTTGTCCTCATCTTTATTGCTATATTTACGATTCTTGTACGCACTATCATGGCCCAAGCGATGGTTGAGTGATCCAAAAAGTGATTGACAGAAAGAGTTATGAGTTCAATACCTGGATACAGCAGGGGAACACAAAATTGGAGAGTTGGATTATTAAAGAGAATTAACTGAAAGTGAGTTATCAAAAAATGAATAAATAAAAAGGCATGGTACGTGGAATTAGAACAATCTACCTCCATGGACTAAATAAAGGGTTTGTTTCGAAATTCCAACGTATATTACTTGAAGAAGGTCGGAGTGTACAATTGCCATAACGTCGGGAATATAGCAATAAAGTCCAGGACAACAGTGTAAATAGTTACAATAAATTATTTCAAAAATGTAGACAGACGTCAAAAGAAAAGAGTGCTAAGCTTTCATGCCGGGTGTTCGAAAAGTCACCAAGGTATTTTTGAAATATCAGGAGAGGAACTCATTGCGGCTTGGATTCACGTTTTTCACTGACAGGAAGTAGAATTGTTATTTTGGTTCAGTTTTTAGGGTCTGTAATGTTAACGGTCCTGACCTGGCATCAGTCACTTTCCCGCCGTCGTGTCGTGACTTCCCTCTGCCTTTTCTACAAATATTTTCTTATGAGGTTTCCTACGTGGTGCGTAGGTAGCGGACATGCCCAATACTATTTTGTTTAGTTCATTGTATATAGAATTGTAATCATTGTAAATATTTATTAGGGTTTCATTCTTAAAAGTTGTTATTTTTATTCTCCACCCCCACAAAGAAGTTGTACTTATTTAGTACTTCATAGAGACTTTGAGGTATTATGGTGGCTGTAGTAAGAATGTTAAGTAAGGATGTCTTGTTTTCGTGTAAGGAATAATGTAGTATATTTCGGTCAGTAATTGTTAGCTAAGTTTAAGATAAGACAGATTGAAAGCCAGCTTTGCTCTATCAGCCATTTTTTAGCCTTTTGCTACATTTTTGAATTTTACAAAACAAATGTAGCTTTTCTATGTGGTGCTACAACTTGACATGAATTTACGCGTACGACTAGATTGGCAATTAGGTCTCATCTTTTTACTGTTGAACTAGATAGATGCAACAACTTTTATTCATTTCTCGCATTTCTCACCTGTGGAAATATATTCCGCGTTTTTTCTTCCCTGCCACCTGCAACGTCAATCGCTATCTTATGTCTTCCTGAAAACTGTTCTTTTATTGTCCTTTCTCCTCACTAAAGTCTTCTCATTCTCTTTTACTCCCGGTAAACCTTTGCGTTTCAGTGGAATTATCGCCTTGCTGGAGGTGAAATGATTAAAAAAATTTATATTTGCACAAACATTTACTTTATCGATTCAGAAGTAGCGATATAAAAAAAAAAAGAGAAAATGCTGTTTCCACGAAATAATAAGATTTAAGAAAAAAATTCTTATGATAACTAAAGATAGGATATTAAAAGTAAAAAAAAATTCATTCAGTCGTTAAAATGGAGTGAGGCGAAGAAAAGCCAGATTACTTTTAGTTTCCGGTGAACACCTGTCTTGTTGAATCTGTGTTCAATTCTGAACTTCCGGTCTTTGCTTCCGGAACTGTTCATCAAGAAACTGAAATGATAATGGCGGACTTGGCTTTTTTTTCCCCGGGACGCAGTGTTTTGTATTGATTACTTCAAATGTCTGCATTCGGATCATAGCAGCAAAATTACGGAAAGGCGAGGAAGAGAGGCGAGTGGATCGGCTGCATAAATATACATATGCATATGTGTGTGTGTATTTGGAAATAACTTTATGCACGGGTATATGCCATTCCTTTTGCGAATGTGTTTGTAAACAGAAGAAAGTGAAAGAGAATTTATTCAAGGGAAATAACTGCGTCTATAATTATGTGTGCTTGTATGGTTTCGTGAGCATGCGCGTGGGTGTGGGGACGAGTATTCTGTATTTTCGAATGCGATATTTTTATGGGGGAGAAGGAAAACAGATTAACGAAAATAGATAATGAAAGAATAAATAAATATGAAATAGAATTTTTTAAAAAAAATGTTTACTGAAGACCCTCATTATCCACGGTTTCATTTTCCCGCTATTAACGCCAGAAATAAAATATATAGATACTTTAATATGGTCTCAAATATAAAAGGTAACCTATGTTGGCAGTTCAGATGTGCCAAAGAGAAACCCCGAAATGTTTCCTTTAAATTAGAAGGTTATCAACTGAAATAAGAGGAAAAGAGGTATATATAGATGTTGCTAAGATCTAGCTCAAATCGAATCTTCTGGGGTTTTTTTTATCGATTCACCCTAAGCAAGGTGGCAATGCCACTAAGACGAAAAGGATTATTGGGAATGAAAAAGAATGAGAACACTTTTGTGAAGAGAAAGGACAATAAAAAAAACAGGGTCAAGGAAAACAAAAGATGGCGATTGACGTTACTTTTAAATTTTTGAGCGTCTTGGGTATGACGATAAACTACCACTGGTAACAAGGCCTCTGATCAGGGAGCTTTGAGGAGTGTGAGACCACCTCTTAAATTTTGCTGATCCGGAGTGGTAGTACTTGTTACGGTCCCAGCTATAGGCAAATAGTTTACATCGAAACTGGGGTCAAAACACAATAAAAGTATGAAAAAAGATTTTTACAGTAAAAATGCCAGCAATAAATTTTTGAAAAAAAAAATATCAGTAATACATTTAAAAAATATATGACCAGCAATGCATTTGACTCTCTACAAAAACCCTCTTTACAAAAACACGTCAATTAAACCTGATCTACAAACAGATTTCTTACGAAGAATACCCGTCCTGGGTATGACGATAAACTACATCCGACAGCAAGGCCTATGATGAGGAGCGTGGAGTCACCTCTTTATTACTGGTGTTCCTAGATCCACCTTGACCGGTGAGGTAGCACCTGTTAGGGTTCCAGCTATGGGCAAATAGTTAACCCCCAAACTGGGCTCAGAACACTATGAAAGTGTAAAACAGTTTTTAATGCCAGAAACACTTTGTAAAAATTATTACTAGGAAAACATTATATCCCAGCTATACATTTTTGAAAAAAAATATTACCAGCAATACATTTAAAAATATATGACCAACAATGCATTTGACTCTCTACAAAAACCCTCTTTACAATAAATAAGTCAATGAAACCTAAATCTACAAACTGATTGCTTACAAATAATATATATTCTATTCATACAAACCTATCCTGGTTGGTAAATAACCTATCGAAGTGTTGATATACCCTAAAATAAAATAATGCATACCAAACTAAATTTTTGAAGGATATAGATGACAAGGAATCAAGAAATCGAAAAATATTTCCACAGGCGTGAGAAGAAACTATTAGGATAGAACTTACGGTTGGATCTAGATAGTTCAACAGTAAAAAAAAAAAAAAAAAAAAGAAACCTAAGAGCCAATCTAGTAGTACGCTCAAATTCATGCAGTCGAGTTACCGAGGAGGAGGCGAACGATATTCATTTTGTAATGAAATTACAAAACTGTGGCATAAGGCCAAAGGCGGGAATGGGGAAAAAGGATGTTCTTCTTCTGTCTTAGAATAAAACTTAAGAAGTCACAATCACTGACCCAAACGTACCACAATATTCCTTACACCAGAACAACACATGCTTACTTACCATTCTTACTACATCCACCATAATACCTATGAATCTCTATAAAGTCCTAACTAGTCCCCATATGTGCAATTCTTGTTTGTGGGGAGAGGGGAATAAAAGAACAATTTAAAATCTAAAACTCATTGTGTATTTACAATTATAAACAAAACTATTTAAAAGAAACTAAATAAAATAGTTTTAGCAATAAAAAGTCTTATTAATGGAATTGAAACAATATTCTCCTTTAAACTAGGGCTTACGATCACATGACTTTGAAATACGGGTTCCTGTACGATCAACGAAGTTAAGCAATGTCGATCCGGGTCAATACCTAGATAGGCGATCACGTGGGAATACCAGGTTCTGTAAGCTTGGATGTGTGTCTGGTCTTACGGCCACATGAGTTTGAAACACGGGTTCCTGTACGATCAACGAAGTTAAGCAACGTCGATTCTGGTCAATCCAAGATGGGTGATCGCGTGGGAATACCAGGCTCTGTAAGCTTGGGTGTGAGTCTGGTATAGAGAGCTTACAGCTAAATCACGTTAAAACACCGTTTCCTGTACGATCACTGAAGTTAAGTAACATCGTGCCTGGCCAGTACCTAGATGGGTGACTGCTTGGGAATACTGGGTGCAGTAAGCTTGAATGTGCGGTTGGTGGGATGGTTAATGGCTCGGAATCCCTAATCAGAGGGCAGAGATCCCATTCCAGTTGGATTCGTTATAATGACACGCGCAAATATCCCTGGGAAAGGCATGAATCCACCTCTTCTCTTCCTCCTATAGGTTAATTAATGAGAATTTATCACTAAATCAATAATATATATAAAAAAATCTTATACTCTCAAAGTAACAAAATTAAATAACGTGCGAAAACGTTGATAAGCCGTGAAAAACGAATCAAATACTCCTTTAATCTGGGAAACTATTTTCAGGCTAAACGTGCTTTAACAATGTGCTAAAAATCATTACTTTTCTGTCGCGAGGTACATTTTTTAAATAAAGCTTTCGATATCTATGCCGGTAGATATTAATTTCATTGCTTAAAAAAAAAAAAGGATATCACGTTTACCCACAAAAAATACAGTTTATAATAATACAACTGGTGTTAGAATGTTTTTTTAATCCATTAATTTTTTAATCCATTAATTAATTTTTTAATTCATTAATTTTTTAATTCATTAATTGCTTAAAAATTGCTTTTATGTTTCGTGCAGTTAACGACTTCGAAATGTCCCAAATAAAAGATTTGTATTCCTTGTTTTGCTGTAATAGTTTCTCGTAACAACAGGTATGACTAGTCAAATATAGCTCTCCATTTAACATAGTGTTTAGACAAGCGGAGGCCGAACCACGGCTTGCAAGCCACATGGGGTATGTCTTACTATTCTCAATCATTCGTCTACGTTGTTAACACTTGCGCTGCTAACTAGGGAGATCTTCGTTTTTCTTATCTTGCTTCAGCTGGCTAAGTACGGAAACCTACGTTTTTTGCATACCGCTGGTATGAGTGTCCCGTTGCGCCATCTATCGTCAAATCACAAAGGACAATGCTTCAAAAGATATCATGTGTATACCCATTAATGATCTGTTAAGTCATTCCCAGGTATATCCATGAAAATGGAATGCTGTAAAACACACTGGTGCCAGTAATCTGCGTAATAAAATATGTTGGTTGAAATTTGGCATTTTCTTTAAAAATGGCTGGCCGGAAGGGGGCAGCACTCGGCAAATGAGTAGCAGTGAAAGTGTTAACATGTCTTTTGAGATTCACCCTGTACAAAGCCCGGAAGCCACTCGAGGTAAAAGGTTACAGAGAAAGGTGCACAGTTTATGCGGATATGTGGGGAAGACAACAGTTAACCCTAGACCTGAAAAGGTTAAGAATGTAGTGATTAGGAAAACATCCTCTTGGGAATCGGTTCTACATAGCAGTGGTTCACAGGAAAAACCTGCTCGAGTGGAACTTACATCTCACCAATGGAGTACGAGTAGGGGAATGTAGGTGTTTCGCTACAATGTATGTAGCATGGTGGGTTTTCGCCGTGAAAGTTAGAACTGGTGGAACTAAGGAATGTCGCTCATCTGAGCACTTTCTATGGAATTAGCGATAGAGCAGTGAACACTGTTTCCGGTCTTCTTCAGGTGTTTGCCATCATATTTAGTAAACTTCTCGGAATTTTGAACCGAATCCCCGTTTAAACCCACGAAACGGATTTGTTATCTTTCCGGTTGCTCTGCCAAGGGAGATAACTCTTATAATAAAAAAAACACTCACCGAATTTTATTCAGATTTGTGTAGTTTCTCCGTTCCTTCAATTGAACCAGATTAAATAGTTCTTTAGTATTACCAGGCCCAAGGATTTTACTCATCACTGCCAGAGAAGTAAACACGTTTTAACGAACGATTTTTGATCCACTAGGCCCATAATGAAGCGCGCAATATACGATTTAAAAAAATAATTCAGTACGCTTATTTCTTGACACTAAGTGATGGTCGAGCGCGCAAAGATTCGCCTGACGAAAAAGCGGGCTATCAACTTTTTTTTTTTTAAATTTCATAATCTGCATTTCTTGATCCTCATTGAGTTTAGAATCTACTTACAGGGATTATCAAGATTATTCCTACTCACACTTTGTTGAAATAAATGGATGTGATTGGTTAAGAAATTATTTTAATCCAATCACTGGCCGAGTATAGGATAAATTATTTTAATCCAATCTCTGTTCGAGCTTAATTTAAGAAAACATTTTAATCCAATCACTAGCCGACAATAGGTTAATAAATTATTTTAGTCCGATCACTGTTCGAGCTTAACTTAAGAAATTATTTTAGTCCAATTCTTAGACGAACGTAGATTAAGCAATTATTTTTTGTCCAATCACTGGTCGAGTATATATTATTTGAATTCAATCACTGTTCGAGCGCAGATTACGAAATTATTTTAGTCCAGTTTACGTTAAGAAATTATTTTTGTCCAATCACTGCTCGAACGTAGGTTAAGAAATTATCTTTAACCAATCACTATTCGAGCTTATGCTAAGAAATTATTTTTGTCCAATCACTGGTCGATAATGGGTTAAATTATTTTTGTCTAATCACTAGCCGAATATCGTTTAAGAAACTATTTTAATACGATCACTGGTCGATCGCAGGTTAAGAAATTATTTTAATCCAATCATTGACCGAGCATAAATTATTTTAATCCAATCATTTGTCTGCATTCCAAAATCTTAAAAGTTATTTTCATCTTAAATTGGCATCAGACAATCACCAGTAGTTCTTTGCACATTAGGTCTTAATTACATTTTGATATTTTTGTTCGTTGGTGAGTTTAAGTTTGATTAAAAAATATCGGCTACAAGTCGTGCAAAGGTTGAACAGATGTTGGAAATTAGTTGATGAACAAAAACCCAGTCAGAAGATAGAGTCTTAGGCGACTGAAGAAGAAGCTGTTTAGTGATTAAATCACCTTAAAGTATAAATCACGTGAAAGCATAAAATTAACGAAAAAAATTAACAATGCATGTTTCTTTTTTTTTTTTCATTACAATTTTTCTTCTCTACGCCTTTTTCTGTATTCTTAATTTAATCTCTTTTTCGTTTTTTTTCTTTCCATTTTACATCATCTTTATTTTCTCGTCTTCTTTTTTACATTTTGCATTTAAGCTATTTCCACGACTTCTTTCTTTCTTTCTTTCTTTCTTTCTTTCTTTCTTTCATCTCCAACTTTTTCTATGTGTTTTCTATTCTTTCACGTTACTTTTTCTTTATTTCTACGTTTCTTTCCTTCATTTGTTCTTTTTTTAACTTAGGCTTTTTTTTTAAATTTCTTTCTTAGTCTTGCTTTCTCATTGTCTTTTTCTTAACTTTGCATTTTCTTCTTTTCTCATTTTGCTTTACGCTTTTTTTTCTTTTTAATTCACCTTTCTTTCTTTCTTTCTTTCTTTCTTTTCGTCTTCAACATTTTCTTTTCTTCTTTCATTTTTTTTGCTTCTTCGTTTATTTCCACGCCTTTTTCTTTTCTTTCTTATTTTAGCCTTCATCGTTGTTTTTCTTCTTTCATTTCACTTTTAAATTCCACGTTTTCTTTCTTTCTTTCTTTCTTTCTTTCTTTCTTTCTTTCTTTCTTTCTTTCTTTAACACCTTTTTCTTTTCTTCATTTAACTTTTCTTTATTATCATGTTATCTTTCTTTTTTTTTTCCTCACTTTAATTCTTCGTTTTCTTTCATATTTCCCTTCCTTCAGTGCTTCTTTCGTTCGTCTTTCTTTAGTTTCGTTCCTTTTATTTTTCTTTATATCTACCTTCGGTGTTTGTTTTCCATTTTTCTTTTCATTCCTTTTTCTTTCTGTTTCTTTTCCCTTTCCTTCACTGTTTCACGCTGTGTGTCTTTCATTATTTTCTTTGTCCCTTCTTCTCTTTCTTCCTTTCATTTATTTATCCCTGATACTTACTGCGTTGATAACTGGCAATTTATTTATTATCTTTCCTTCTCTTACCATATATATATATATATATATATATATATATATATAATATATATATATATATATATATATATATATAGATAACTAGACTCGTTTCGAAAAAAACCCTCGAATTTTTGATTTGCTAATCAAATCAATCTCGAGGAAAAAAAAGGTTTTAAAAAAAAGAAAGAGCTACAAACATGGACTTCTGCCGACAAAAAAATCGCACAGATGCAGGTCTGAAGCCCAAAGAAAAAACCCCGATACGAGTAACAACTAACTAACAAAAGAGCTCAATACAACCGTAGAGCAGACCTAGATACACCTGACGATCCGTTTAGGTGAAACCTAGGTAGGTTTGTCTGGCTCACTAGGTGTATCTATATATATATATATATATATATATATGTGTGTGTAGTGTGTGTGTGTGTGTATGTGTGTGTGTGTGTGTGTTATGCAGTGTTACATTAAAACATGCACATATCCACTACAAAATTTACATTTTGTTTTCAACGTTAAAAAGGAAAACCTTTTTAGACGACTCATCAGGTAGGAATCACGGTGTTATTAAAGTTTTTAATTCCCCACCTGATTCTTTCGTCTAAAAGTTTTTTTTTTTTTTGGACGTTGAAACAAAAATGTACAATTTTGTAGTGGATATGTGCATGTTCTAATGTAACACTGCATAAGATAAATTAATATTTAAGGCTCTACTTTATGTACTGAGCATATTTTTAAATTAATGCTGTAATCTTACTGTTCGTTCTCCTACAATTTAATACACACACACACACACACACACATATATATATATATATATATATATATATATAGATAGATAGATAGATAGATAGATAGATAGATAGATATTAATAGCGGATAGAATAGAAATAGCGATCCGAATAGTAATAGCGGATAGAATAGAAATAGCGATCCGAATAGTAATAGCGGATAGAATAGAAATAGCGATACGAATAGTAATAGAGGATAGAATAGAAATAGCGGTCCGAATAGTAATAGAGGATAGAATAGAAATAGCGATCCGAATAGTAATAGAGGATAGAATAGAAATAGCGATCCGAATAGTAATAGAGGATAGAATAGAAATTGCGATCCAAATAGTAATAGAGGATAGAATAGAAATAGCGATCCGTATAGTAATAGAGGAT